GCGGGTTGTCAAGGCGCCGCTTGGCGAGCATGTCGTGGACGTGGGCCTCAGCCCTGGCCACGGCCTCGATGTCGCCCGCGAGCGCCACGGGCCCGTTGTTGGCGGGCTTCATGAATCTGACGGCGAATTCCCGCTCGAGCCAGGCGGCCTTGCTGTCCTCGGGGCCAAGCGCCAGAATGCGCTCCTCAGGCTTAATGTTTAAAGCCACGAGGACGTGATTTGGGCTCAGTTTCAAGTTGGCCATGAGCTGTAGCTCGACGACGGCGGCCATGGCTTTCTCCTTGGGGCCAGTGACCAGGATCTATGCGTCGGGCTGGTTGCGCCCATACCCGGTGCCTCTTGGCGACGTGATTGACTCGGAATCCACCCCTGCCAATGGCTTAGCCGAGCCGGGCGGGCTCGACGGGAACGGGTATCGTCGTCATATCCTCACGCTGTTCCTGGGCGACTGCCTGGGTCTTCTTCCCGGGCTCTAGGGGGGCTGGCGGGGGCTCTAGGGGGCTGGTCTTCTTCTCGGGCTCTAGGGGGGCTGGCCGGGTCTTCTTCTCGGGCTCTAGGGGGGGTTCTTCTCGGGCTCTAGGGGGCTGGCCGGGTCTTCTTCTCGGGCTGGGGGCTGCCCTTCTTTCGGCTGTTGCGGGCTGCCCAGGTCTTCTTTCGGGCTGTTGGCGGGCTGCCCAGGTCTTCTTCTCGGGCTCTAGGGGGGCTCCCCAGGACTCCCTCACGGACTGTTGGCGGGCTGCCCAGGTCTTCTTCTCGGGCTGTTGGCGGGCTGCCCAGGTCTTCTTCTCGGGCTCTAGGGGGGCTGGCCGGGTCTTCTTCTTCTCGGCTCTAGGGGGGCTGGCCGGTCTTCTTCTCGGGCTCTAGGGGGACAGCCAGGGTCATCTTCTCGGGATGAAAGAGGGATGCCCAGGTCTTCTTCTCGGGCTCTAGGGGGGGCTGGCCGGGTCTTCTTCTCGGGCTCTAGGGGGCTGGCCGGGGGGCTCGGGCTGGTCTTCTTCTCGGGCTCTAGGGGGCTGGCCGGGTCTTCTTCTCGGGCTCTAGGGGGCTGGCGGGTCTTCTTCTCGGGCTCTAGGGGGGCTGGCCGGGTCTTCTTCTCGGGCTCTAGGGGGGCTGGCCGGGTCTTCTTCTCGGGCTCTAGGGGGCTGGCCGGGTCTTCTTCTCGGGCTCTCTGGCCGGGTCTTCTTCTCGGGCTCTAGGGGGGCTCCCCAGGACTCCCTCACGGACTGTTGGCGGGCTGGCCGGGTCTTCTTCTCGGGCTGTTGGCGGGCTGGCCGGGTCTCCTTCTCGGGCTCTAGGGGGGCTGGCCGGGTCTCCTTCTAGGGCTCTAGGGGGCTGGCCGGGTCTCCTTCTAGGGCTCTAGGGGGGCTGGCCGGGTCTCCTTCTCGGGCTCGAGGGGGACTTCCTGGGTCTCCTTCTCGGGCTCGAAGGGGACTTCCTGGGTCTCCTTCTCGGGCTCGAGGGGGACTTCCTGGGTCTCCTTCTCGGGCTCGAGGGGGACTTTCTGGGTCTCCTTCTCGGGCTCGAGGGGGACTTCCTGGGTCTCCTTCTCGGGCTCGAGGGGGACTTCCTGGGTCTCCTTCTCGGGCTCGAGGGGGACTTCCTGGGTCTCCTCGAACTCTTTTGTTACAGACCGAGTCGCGCGGCGGGCCACGGTGAGGAGGCCGACGACGATGAGGACGGCGACGGCGACACTGAAGAGAGTCCTCTTCACTGTCGCTACCTGCGCGGTCACGGCCAGAGCAAGGGCCTGCAGCTTCCCCAAGGACTTGTTGTTGCACTCCAGCTGTCGCTGGAGAACGACGATCCTCGGCGTGTACCAGGGTGAAGCCGGCAGGTCGCACAGGAGGACACCGATTTCCTCTTCGGTGGCAAACCAGCGCGGTATCCTGCCCTTCGTCTTTTAAATGGAGAGCCGCTGTAGTTTTACAGCGCTATGCTTCGAGTCGACGAGTCGCTGCTCCACGTAAGTAACAGACACGAAGACGAAGGCCAAGGCTGTTAAACCGATCAATTTCATGGCTTGCTCCATAAGAAAACAACATGCCGCTGTGCCTCGTATAGACTTGGTAAAGGGCCATAGCATTTGTTG